TAACTTCAGAGAGTAAAATATGGCAAAACCAGGAATCACAAAGTTAAAGGTCTACTACTTAAGATCTAAGTCAAATTTTCAAGCAAGAATTTACACTTTATCTAATATATTATGTACACATATTTATTTATAATAATATATCATATTTAGATTCTAAGGTGGCCATTGTTAGAGTAATGCTTTATAATAGACATATCATGAAATGAGGATGGCCTGCTGTCGAGGCCCAGAGTTGGAGACCCCAGCTGTAAAATGTAAAGCTCCAAAGTATCTAATCATCACTAATTAAATGTCAACAAGAGAGATGAAATGAGAAAGTGACTTCCACTTTTTAGATGTTTTCTTCTGGTCTAGGTAATAATTTATAAACCAGTACTGATTCTGAGTTTTGGATTAACCTTATTCTCTCCTAATGAAAATAAATCCAAACAGCAGATGTCCCTTCCTCCATCATCACCTCTGTTATCCACCCCATCACCCGTCTCCAACCTCTTCTACTCACTTTTTTCTCACCTGACTTGTTTTCGTCTTTCTTTCCCTGCCTCACACTTCCAGCTTATTTCTGGGCTTTTCTCCAGTTTACACACTGAGCCAGTAGCCAACAAATACTGGTCCTGGTTTTCAGCAGGCAGAGAGGACAGAGACCAGCAGGGCAGAACAGCAAGGTTGCTACATCATGTTCAGCATGATCCCTCTGCAACGCCTACACAATGTACCAGTTTTCAGAGAGCGAGATGATGGCTATGTCCAGCGGAAGCCAAGTAGGGCCAGCAGGTTGGCTCAGACAGCAGAAAGAAAAATGTTAAAACCTCTCAGAACAAATTATAATTCAAAAGACACTGAAAGGTATGATCAAACGTGGCACCAATATAATGAACACAAAGAAGAAAAAAATGTAATTCCAATATTCAGCCTTTGCTGTGTTATTTGTCCCAGAGATCAAACCATTTAGTGTGAAATGTGTTCATCAATCCCTGGATGAAATTAAAAAGAATTGGTGAACACATATTATAGCACACTCATTAGTCAAAACAGGTTCTGTGCCAGTATGATCTAAAATGCCACTCGGAGAGCAAGATGCCGTCACACACACAAAAAAACAACAACAAAAAAAACATAATTGATATCTGAAACACTAAGGGACAGATAAATGTAATTATTGAAGACATACCATGTGCTCTGATGAAACTAAAATTGCAGTGTTTGACCCAAATGCGCATTTTGTGTCAAGTCGTGTGGATGTTTTGTTTCAGGGAAGAGTTGAGCACCTCAAAAAACATGGGATGAAGCATTATGGGAAAATATTAAAGTAGCATCTTTGGGCATCAGGAAAAATCATCTTAATTATTTGAGCATTTATCAAATTTAAATAATTTTGTTGTTCCTAACTGAACTGTAATAGAAACGTTTAGCCTGATCTACTGTCAGAGGCTGAGAAACTAAAGACAGAATGCACAAAAGGTATTGAATAAAGACTTACTGTTGCTCAAGAGTCATTTCCTGTTATGATCAATGTTGATCACTCTTCCTGTACTTGAGAGGTGTGCGCTTATGTTGTACCTCATTTAACTTGTTCTCACCAAATGAATTGTAACAGAGTCGATGTGAAATGTTGGGTGGGTGGTGTTGGTTTAGGCCATTAGTGCCAACAGATTAGAACAGACTGGCCCTGAAGGGAGGAAGGGAGCATCTCTAAGTATTATGTTGTTTTGCACTATAGAAAAAGAATGAACTGAGTCATTCAGATTTAAAATGCAATCCTGTTTGTAGCTCCAGGGCAGCGAATGGGGTAGACTGCTACTTTGTTAACATCATTTTAAGACATGATAAATAAAGTGGATTTTTGTTATGCCACTATAAAAACACTAATTTGTTTTACCATGACAGCCAGAATAGTCATCAATCTTACTCTTTTATTACAGTAAAGTGAATGTCATCTTAATCTCAAGCCTTTAGTTACCATAGTAAAGGTGTGTGAAAACCTGAAATGTCTAATATTTCAATTAACTTATTATCTGTAGCTTTTGTTTCACTGAAAGGTTCTACAAAAACCTGTTTCAACTCTGAGCACAAGACTGTCTTGATCTGTTAGCCTAGATAAGACTGCAAGGCAAAACATGATTAACACATTATCAGACAAACACGCTGTCCTCAACCATCCTCAACCATCCTCAGTGAATCTGTGTTAAAAGGGTCCGGACTTGTACTCATTTAACACTTGACTGAGCACGATAGAAAAATGCTCTGCTGTGAACTCTCGCAAAGTGTCAGCCACTGTAAAGCTTTAATCGTTCATCGTGTCAAACACATTAGGAGCTCTTGTCATCAAAATCCCATCCCTGTCCTTTTGACTTGGTTCCTTTCCATCTGCCTTCCTGCCAATCCCTTTAAAGCATCTACCTGCTTTGCTCATCTTATAATCAGTGGGAAATGGCAAGACGTTTAACTGAGAGTCCTGACTAAATGGAAATGTTTGATTGAATTCACTAAGCCCCAAAAGTCCAATTTGTATGACGTATTTCTGGACCAAGAAAAACAAAACAACCGACATTTTACGACTTCCTTTAAATAAGCCAAACATGGAAGAGCCTCTTCATGTTTTGTTTTCCAGATGATGTTTAGCAAAAGTTCACTTGGTTGGTTTAATTTAAATATTGAAATCATGTTTCTTATTTTGCAGGCTTAAAAAAATGCACTACACTTTTGCACAAATTTAAAATGTTGGGAACAGTAAGAAAAAGGTTTCAGCTTCAGCTTTTTCATTTTAAGACCTGTGATATTTTTGTCATTCATTGACAGCATCCAGACAGGAAACATGAACAGAAACGAAGGAAATAAATCCAGCAACAGTCCTCAACAGCTGGACGTCTGCCTTAATGATTTTAGCCTCTGCTCGCAAATTGAGTGTTGATGATGTCACTACGGCATTAGAAAACCTGTTATGGCACTTTAAAAGTAAGGCTCACATGCAATACTTGTCATTCCTTTGGTCAAGCCATGCCTCAATGTGTTTTATACACATAAAAGTATCAACAAATCCTAAAGCAAAGCAAAGCAATATTTCAATGTTTCTTTTGCCAGTGTTTATCTCACTGCTTGTCTTAATAATATTTTCTTTTTGAACAAAAAAGAAAATATTAACCCTCTAACCTAAGTTGGTTCTAACAAGAGTTATCTTTACAACTCAGCAAGGAAATAACTACTTCAAAGATGACATGAAAGGATCCTCTACTTCAAACTGTGCAGACTATGAATCCCAAGTCACCGACTGGAGCAAATGTTGATGGTTTAACAGATAATTGCAGTCAGGCAGTGAATTAGTGTTTGTCTGAAGTGGAGGTGACAGAGCTGAAGATGCTGCTGAGGGTCAAAATTAACTACCTTGTACTGTGACATTACATCAGTCAGAAGGCTGATCTGTAACAGGAGGGTGCAGCAACTTGGTGAATAAACAGCGGGACTTGCAGTGAGGGAGTGCCTTCGTTTGACTGGAAAGCTGTCCTTGGGCAAGGCACAAAATCCCATTTCATTCATGTTACTTCTCTCCCTTCTCATTTTTTCCTATTTTCTGACATTATTTTCTATTGTTTTTTTTCTTTTATTCATTTCATTCTTCTTTTCTTTATATTTGTTTACACTTTCTAAATGTTTAAAGCTTTTTTGCAAATTTCCTAAATTTACAAGAAACTAATTTTCTATGGGTGTTTTACACTAATATATAAGTTTATTTGACTGATTTAATCTAATATCTGACTTACTGACTGTCCATATTCAGGACAATTTCACTTTTGCTGAAAATGTTACATTCCTTTGGTTTAGAGGTGAACAAGCAGTCACTAATTTGATATAAGAAGTATTTGTAGACACAAAAGAAATGCTTATTGAAAGTTACAAATGTAAGAAAGGCAAGTATCAAAAATTTTGAAGAATAGAGCACAGCAGGGCAGGCGGAACCAAAGGTCCTTTCCACAGAGGGAGTGATTAAGGCATTGCACAAATCCCACAGGGGAGTGAAAGGCCAGGAAGGAGATCTCATTACCCATAATGCAGAAGAAGACAAATTATCGCCTGACGCCACGTGGAAAACTCACACACAATGTCATAAAAGTATTTAAAATCCCTCTGCTGAACTAATGATTTTAAAAGGAGAGACGGTGGACATTTGCTCTGAGGTTCAGTTCTATTTTTAGGAGAAAGCCTTAAAAATATGAGACAAGAAAAGGAGACAGCAGTCCATAAGAGTTCAGGCACTTGCATCATAATGTGCTCTGAGTTTCCATGTTTGATTTGTCAACAACTGTAATAATTTCAAATAATTGACAATGATTACAGTTCTCCTAATATCCTTCCATAGTATAACCTGACAGAGCTTGTTCAGGCAACACTTCCATTATGGATGATTGTGTTACATAGTGTATGTACGCTGTCCATCAGTCGGACAATAAACTGATTAGTGAACAGTTTGAATTCGAGTACCACAGGTGGTAATAATGTGGTGCTTTATCAATTGAATCTTTGAAGAAAAACATGCTTCATGGATTTCTTATTAAGAATTTGATGCATTGTGTAGCTCTTTGTAGAAAGTGAATGCTGCTCTTGTGGTATTGTGCTTGTCCTCTGACCAGATCCAAAATTACACAATCGTATTGTAAACAGCAATGTCTGCATCATTTCCACCTGCTGCCTACATGCCAACAGTGAGAAGAGAGACATTTTTTTTCAAAATGACCATCCTACTTTTAAGATTTTAACACTAGGTTTTGTAATGTTTCCTACCATCCGTGACAAACGCAGAAATTCATGATGTTTGGCTTTTTATCACATTGGGAATGAGACAGGTGTTACTGACTGGTTAACTTTATCCTCATCTTGATTCCATCGGGTCTCTTGCTGAACTTATTTTTGAGCTCTTCACTGACATCCACACATATTTTAATTCAGAAAGGCCACATCCTAGTCACTGGGTTTGCATGATAGCATCCAGACTCTCTGCATCTTACCTGGTTGATGATGTAGATGCCGTAGTCAATCTTCTGCCGTCTGAGAATAGGGTGGAGATAGTGGAGCCAGTACTTCAGGTGATTTTCTCTGTGACGGAATGGGATAATGATGGCAACCTACAGAACAAAGACGCCAAACATATGTTATTACCCGTTTGTTATCTGTAACCTTTTGTGTCAAGATCTCCTCATTTCATCATGAGCCACTGAACAATAAAAGCACCTGACAAAATCAAAGCAGGAAAACATCGAAAAAGGAGAGTTTTGTTTTAATCCATACTAACCTTGTGTCTGCCAGAAACGATACATCCTGCATTGCCTTAAAAGTTTTCAGCCACAAACATTTAGGTATTTTGTTAAGATTTTGGATGAGAACTCTACACAAAGTAGTGCATATTTACAAGGTTGAAGAGAAATTAATGATTGTTTTCGTTATATTTACACAATCTTCGAGTCATAATCTTTATCACAGTATTGATGTGGGCACTAACGTAGGTAAGATGACTGCTTGGATACAAGATTTGGCAAATGCCATTAATTTACATTCTGCCTGTAAACAATATATTTGCCCAGTTGAATAGATTATATTGTCCTTAATTTCTAAACTTTTTGTGGATTTTAGTGGTTGAAATTTTAAAGCTAACAACCCCTGGCGATGACCTTGTGATGAAGGTCATCGCCAGGGGTTGTTAATCATAAACATTATCAATATTCTAATATCCAACATTGGCATCACATAGTTTTTTCTCCTTATTATGCAGCCTTTAGAATTTGATTAGGTAAATTCTAAAGGCAATTGGTTGTAGTGGATTTTATTTAGAGCTACTAATATATTAGGCTCTAAATACAAATTCCCATTTTATTATTTTTTTATTTTTTATTGGAAAACCATGTGTCCTTTTTTCTCAAATTCACAATTATGCTATTGATGGTCTGTCAAATTAAACAAAATACTTAGCAATAATAAATAGTTTAGTTATTCAAGTCATTAGATCACTGTTTGGGAACACCTCGGACCTACTGTCCTTTTACAATGGGCCTATTGAGAGGAAGCAGCATTGTTTGGTGTTGCTGAAGTGTGGGTGTGATTGTTCTGCAGAAATGTACAAGTTGGTGGCAAATGTCACAGCAACACAAAAAATGTCAGGATGCATGTTTGCAGTGAAAAATGTTGTGTTGTAATTTAATGAGAAGTATTTTTTTTCTTTACCTGTTAAGTGTTTATAGACTGATCAAAAAATGCATATTTTTTGAATATGCATATTTTTTTCCCATCAGTCACTCACTGATGGGAAAACGTGTTTTCTCATATTCTATCTATCTAGTCAGGGATAATTTTGGTTTAGTTATTTTGTTTCATAGCTGATTTATTGCTGATTCAGAGACAGTTGACAGTTTTGTTAAAGATATTCTGTAGATGAGATACTTTCATATACAAGATGAAAATAGGAATATTTTAAATGTGTTATTATATCATCTTGAAATACTATGGGATTTGCCTCATGTTTTATTATAGCAAAATAATTACATAACAATCTAAAGATAGAACAGCTTCTTTTCTCTAGATAATGGAATAAGAGATTTAAGGGTTTCAATTTAGAATATCTTGTCTTGTGATACATAGATTATTTCTATATCAGCCACAGAAGTTGAAAAGGAATTAGCAATTCGTCACGACAGCAATACGTAACAATAAAACTGGGCGAAACGCTAAAATGCTTTTATGGCAAACATATTTATATTTCACAACAGAATTTAGGCTATTACTTGTTAAGGTTATGAGAATGGAACCAGAACACAGAGAAAGGAAAATAGGACCATACTGTTGAGCTAATTTTGTTAAAATATTCCTGGTTGAAGGACATCTGGATTAAAATCGAGACTCCAAATAGGCTTCCATAATGTTAACTTTAGAAAATGATCTCTATAGAAAAATAGGATCTCAGTTCTATTTCAGTTAAGGCCAAATAACAGATTATCCACTTTATTGAATAATATATTATGGCAAAACAGTGGTTCTTGATTTCTGTTATTAAAAAGTCAAAAAGATGACTTTTTTTGATGCAGTGATCATATCTTGATTTTTGAAGCATTTATCTATGGTTTGATTCTAACATATATTCTAACAGTGCTTATGTTAAAGAGAAACATTGAAAAATGGCTAAACTATCCTTTTTGATTATGTTATTGGACATATTTTGTCTTACAGATTGACATCTGCCACAAATTTATGTAAGGAAAGAGAGGGGTAGATGAGATGGATAAAACATTTAGGCTATTTTTTTAGGAAGGCAATATATTTATTGGGAGCATAAAAGCATTTTTTTCCATTTCTTGAAAATATATAGTTGTTACTTTTTATAGACAAATATACACTTTTTTCTTTAAATTAACCTACTCAGTTGCAAATTGTTTTCAATCTGTTTTTTTTGACTATACTGTTTTATAAATATGCCCTGTACAAGTCTTCTTGTTTCTGTTTTTACCTTGTGTGAATATGCGTGCATCCACTTATCTTTTTATATTGCTGCTAAAACATCTGAATTTCCCCCAGTGTGGGATAAAGAAGGATATTTATATTCTTGTATCATATTCCGTTCCATTGTATTTGATACATTTCTAAATTCTAAATCAATACATTTAACAATATATTTCAACACAACTCAATCAAATAAGATGTATTTCATGCTAATTTTGTTTAGTGTCACACATAATGTGTTTAAGCATATCCACTGTAAGAAATGACCTTGAGAAATTTATTAGTTTTAACACTTTTAATCAGTTTAAAACAAAGCATGAAAAAAAACACAGCACTCAGACAGAAAAAGAGCCACAGACCTTCCATCGCGGCCGGCAGTCAGGCGGCTTGTATCGGCCTCCCTCTGTAACGTTTGGGTTTTCCTTCTGCAGTCTTTCCATTGTCATCTGGGAACTGAACTCTATCAGCAAGCGCCCCACTGAAGTCAAAAAGAGTGAACAATGAGAGAAGAGTTACAAAATGGGAAAGACAACAAAGAAATCTATGGTGGAAAAAAAAAATAAGAAATTGAAATAAATGAGTTGAGGAAGAACGGCAACTGAGGACACAAGGGAAAGGTCGAGCTATTAGCTTGAAAGACATGCTGCAAGTGGAGCATGGGACTATGAGCAGCTACAATAAACACTAAAAATGCACTCCTCAAAATGCATAACTAAAGCAGATGCACAGGCTATTAAAACACATATTGCTGCAAAAGAGACAGACTTTGAAGTTAATTAAAATAACCAAAACATGAAAAATATTTAGTCTCCACTGCTCTACTGCCAAAGAGTTGAATCAAAGTAATTTATCCATCAATTATTTAATGGTCAAAATATTATACATACATCTGCGTTTGATTGTGTATTCAGACTAATGGTGAGAAAATGTTTAAACGTCTCTGAAGCAAGCATTAAATATTCTCACTCTGAGATTAATTATCAGTAAATTATGAAAGTGGTACAACAAAGCCTGCAACTATAATGCCATACAAGGCAGAACCTGAACTCTCAAAGTTATGTTTATTATTTTTAATTTGATCAAATATCACACAAATATTAACTTACTCAGTAGGAAATAGAGAAAAGATAGTTTGTGAGAAAAGTATTATAAATAAAAAGTACATTGAAATAAATTGTATTAATATAGATATTAAATAGATAGAAATTTATGACACCGGATATTTTGAGTAATAATCAGGCAAACTGGCTTGAGAAATTTGTTTTCAAGGGTAACAGAGACTGCAAAACCACACTGCCTTGCATCAATATGAACAATCCTAAACATTTTACATGTCTTTTCTACATTAAAACAACAAGCTTTGTATATTTTATTGGATCTTTATGTAACAGTCTATTGAAATACAGCACATTTGAAGTGGAAGGAAAACTAATGGGTTTAATCTTTTCCCAGCAGTTACAGCTCCAGGTATCTCCCAGCATTGCATGTCTCGAGATGCCGAATGTCAGTCGTAAAATACTATGAGCCATTCTAGCACATTAATATTCTTTGCTTCAAACCATTGCTACCATTATAACCAGAGAACATCAAACGTCTCCACAGTTCTCTCTCTGACCTGACTGATGTGATGTCTTTATGATGCTGTTTGTTCTCTTCAAAACACTAAGGGCGACCAAATAACAAGACTGTACTGTTATTGTATATCGTACAACATACTAATTAACTGACTTCTGAAGGCAAATATTGGACAGGAGTGTAACAATGAAAAAAAGAGAACAAAACCCCTTCCCCACTGCTCCACTTACACCTTGTCCAGGATACTGGATTTAAATACAATTTACTGTAATATCTCATTTCTAAATCAACAGAAACAATATTAGCACCACATATTGAAGTGCAACTCCCTGGTTTGCATAACTGCAGGCTGCTTCACCTCACCTCCATCAGTGCAATTGTACAATTCAGACTCGTTCATAAGTCAATGACTTGCTAAGAGCTTCTCACTTATAAAAGGTAAGGTATGGGGAGGTTACTATAATTTTCATAAATGCACTTGAACAGTTATATAATTCTGGTGAAGAGCAACAGCTCCTGGGCCTCTGCCTAGAATGCCCACTGGATCATCTCAGAGTAAAGATGTGTAAAGTGGGCGCATAGTCCAGAGTAAAGAGGGGACAATTGGCTCTGATGTCACAACAGTTCTACTGTAAGACTTTACCTTTAACAGCGGAGCACTTCAGTTGCTAATATACTGTGCAAGTTATTAGCTATCCAGCTGAAACACAAATAAGCCTTTATAGTGTAATTTCCTCAGTTCAATCGCAAGACTGTGTAGGCACAAATAAATGTGCCTACACACATTTACAAATTGGCATTATGAACAATAAAAGTATATAAATGTGGTTTGAGGTACAATTGATTGAGAAATGTGATGATAAACTAGAGCTTTCATGTAATTTACACATTATTCAAATTACCCAGCACAAATACAATCCACACATTAATGTCTCATGCATATAAGTAGTGGTATCACACACAGTAAGATGTTAGAAAATCAGGCTGTGTGATTGCTTTATCTAGGGCACCCGCTGCACTAAGGGATACAACAGTGCGCTGTCTGCAAATATATATGGTAATACACACACAGAGACAATAATTAAGAGCTATATCTTAAGGCCGTGCGGTTAACTCCACATGTACTGACAATACAGTTTGAGCACACTTGAAGAACTGAACGCACACACACTTACACACAAACATCATATGGGGTTATTTAAGGCTGTGATTCAGCCTGGGTCAAAAAGAAGCAGAAAATGGAGCACTGAGGTTGGTTCTCCGTCTGATATGGAGTCCATTCACAGAGTTATTGCTGTTTGTCTGCTTCCGTTTCTTTCCTCCTGTCTTGTGTTGCTGATTTGTTCTGCCATCCTCACCAAATATCAACTCGTATATCAAAGTGGAACAATCGATGAGTTATTGCAGACATTCCTAACACGTCTTTTCTCCTCTGTGTTGCTGACAGGTTCCCTCATCTCCTGTTACTGTTCTTTCCAGGTCTATTAGGTTAACAGGTTCGTTCTTTATTCTGAGGCCCATCATTAGGTACAGCGTTCTCCACATTTAATGGTACTGAACTGATGTGTAAAATACAATAAGGTCAACTAATTGTTTACGGTGCTAGAATTTTATTGTATGTAAAAATGTAGAAAAAACATGATCACTTTATATTTGAGTTGATATGAATTAGTTTTTTTACACCATTACAAGCATCCTCAACAATTCATATAAAATGGGTGGAATGACATGTTAATTCAAATGTTGTGCTTTTTAAACCAGTTAGCAGATGCGTGGCGTGACTTGACCAGTAGATGCCAGTGGCTTTGTCATTCCTTCAGAAATGTCTTTAGATATTTTAGATCTGTGATCTTGTTGTGTGCTTTGGTCTTCTTCATAAAACAGCTTGAATCGCTCTAAGAATAAATTACACACAAATCAACTGAGTTTACAAAAAAGATGACTTCTACAACAACTTAATGGACTGACTTATATTTAGGGGTATGAGATTAAAAGAGACTACTCACAAGGAAATTTTTTAAATATATTTTTTTTAAAACTATTTTCCTTCCACTCTACACCCATGCCCTGTTTTGTGTTGATCTGTCACATAAAATAATAAAAGTCCATGGAAGACTGTGGTTGTAACGAGGGAAAATGTGGAAAAGTTCAAAGTGTGAATGGTTTGTGATGTCCTTGAAGTACAACAGTTCAGGCCATCTGATCATGCAATCTCACACAGCAGGCGATTTGTTCTTCAGCGCTCCGGTTCTGACAGCTTTTGAGCCTTTGTGTGCTTAAGTGGCATCCAAAGCTGCGCCAAGGTCAATTTTTCTGAGAAATGTCCAGAGTTTATAATTGCGTTTGATTTTTTAGCCTCTGGAAGAGTGAGGAGCGTAAGTTCAAGAAACGAGAGAAGAGAACGTAGGATGAACAGATAAAAAAAGGATGCATCATGCTGCTGAAGCAGACTATCCATGGAGACTTTCAGCTCTCCAGATCTTATTAGACTGTCCACTCGCTCCACCCCTTCTCTTTCAATCATTTACAAGAGCTTCCACCAGCTCTGGGTGATGATTGCTATTCTTTCCAGCTCAATAAAAAAAGAGAAAAGAAAAAAAGATGACAAAAGAAAGAAAAGACAAAAAGCAAAGAAAGTTTTTCAACCAATAAACTTCAAAGCTTCTCATCTCTTTGTTTTTGTTAAAATATCCCCACACCCAGTTCTTCATATCCTTTCAGGAATCACTACAGAGGATTGAGGAAATCATTAAAGCCAAAGGTCATTTACAATCCCAGCTGAGGGCTTGTTTGTTGGCTCAGAGGATTATTGGCATCTAAGAATCACTGTGAGATGCAAAAAAAGAAAAAAAAAACATCATCTTTCGTTGATGGGAATGTGTGTGTTCATGCAACACCCAGGATAAAAAGGTTACCAGCAGTTTATTCAGAGCTCACCAATACGGAGCACAAAGGGCTGGAGGGAAGACGGTGACACCAGCAGATTGATGGCTTTGTTGTCATGTAGCTGCAGCTAGAAAATGAAAACCCATTGAAAAAAAAAAAGGAAACATGGATTTCATAAAAAGGATCCTGTCGAGCAGGTTTCCATGAAAATTTTTTCCTTCTTCCGCAAACAGCCTGTGCCGGGAAACATCAGGACCAACTCCCTTAAATCAGATGCCATAATCTTTCAGTAGCAAAAGGTGAATTGTTTCAGGAACCAACCTCAAGAGGAAGAGTTCAACTATCTTGGCATTTTTTTCAAGATGGTGGAGGAGGAGTAGCAATGTGGACCCTGACTGACATTATGAAGAAAGACCTGAGGTTCAACAAGTTGAAGACACAAATGAGATGTTAAGAAATGAGGATCAAACGACTGGACTCAAGAGACTGTTTTGGGATTTATTCATCTTTAAAGAGACAGGCGAGCTTTTAAATGCAAATAAGATCATATTTTTGTATTTGTCTATAAGCAAATCTCCATATGTTACCACAGTATTTTATACCCAAGAGTCTTAAATAGTTTTCAAAGCAGTGTAAATATGTTTTTTATTTTGTTTTTATTTCCAGTCTCATTATTTTTAAGCATAAATGTTCTAGAAAAAGACCACCTTTCCAAGGCATTTCAAGCACTTTGAAATGCCTTGCTGAAATGTGCTATACAAATAAAATTTGATTTGATTATAATGGCTCTGTATCATCTTTCTGGGGGACATTTAAATTCATCTTTAAAGAAATTAATAAACATATGGCTTCAATCACATGGTTTTTAACAATATCTTTAAGAAGAAATATGCTAAAGAGGTCTAACAATATTAAAGGTTTTGTATGATAAATAGAAGAAATCGGAATCGGTGGTAAAGAAGGCGACTGAACTCTCCTGCACAGAGGTTAAGTATAAACAAAACATTAAAGTGACAC